CTCTTCAGCTCAAGGCAAGCGCTCTACAACTTGAGCTACAGCGCCACTTCCGGTTTTCTGGTGGTTTATTGGAGATAGGAGTCTCACGGTCTTTCCTGCGCGGGCTGGCTTTGAACCGCGATCCTCAGATCTCAGCCTCCTGAGTAGCTAGGATTACAGGCGTGAGCCACCAGCGCCCGGCTACAAATTGATGAGATTTTTATCTCCAATTAAGCACACACATACACACACACACACACACACACACACACACACACAGTGCCAGACGTGGAGCTGTAGCTCAAGTTGTAGAGTGACAGCTTTGAGTGTAAAAGTCAGGCCAGAGTGCAAAGCCCCACCAGTAATGGTAGTATGATAATTAACTTCATAAATCATGATTTTAGCCATACAATGTAATACTAAATAAGGTATGCTGTTGAAACATTCCTTGAAAAAGATGTTTCCAAAATGCCATTGCTAATTGGGTAGGTGGACTTTTAACTTCCTCCTGGTCATCTTCTGACTATGCCAAAGTTGCTGAACTGAATATGTACTGCTTCTGTGAGGAGACTGAAGGTATTTGGGGTGATGGTCAGAGAAACTCCCATGGCTCCTTGTCTGTTAGTGACACCTTCCTGTTCTACCTGGTGCCTGCAGGGCTTTTCTGTGCCATTAATTTTGCCCTTATGTCAGGAACCCTATCACTCCTAAGTGATTTCCAGAACCAGGAACATGGAGAAGGTGTGGTGGTATTTTTATGCAAGCTACTTCCTGTAAGGTCTGCTCCTGGATGGCCAGCAGACTCCACCCTCCTCACAGCAAAGTCTCCACCCAGTACCTGTGTTACCTAGGCAACTGGGACACCTGGAAGAGGTCACATCTGCATCCACTGAGGTCACATCTGAATTCGATGTGGCCACACCTTTCTCCACCCATACCCTAGATAAGGCCTAGCCCAGGCCCAGAGGCCCTCTCTCGCTGCTCTTTTCTAGCTCTTTCCTCTCTCTTCTCTTTCCCAGCTCTCTCTCTTTCCTAGGCCTTTCCCAGCCACGTGGAGTGCCAACCTTGCCTGGTCCCAGCAGGTCTACTGAATAAACCTACCCCTTACCTATGCGTGCTGCTGTTCTTACTCGGCTACCTCTTTTTAAAAACCTAACACTTCCTTTCTTCCTCACAACCATGTACCATGTGATCATACCTCACTTACCCTTCTCACCGCATTGCAATTTTGAGACCACATAGACATTATGGAAGAAAAATGAGAAGATTCACACTTTGCAGATGAGGAAACTGAGACTGCAGAGTTAAGTAAATATTGAGGCAAAGATTTGTGCTGGAATCTTCTCACTGGCAAAACCTGCACATGACTGCTCTGCTATACTGCTGCTGGTAGTTGCAGCAATTTTCTCACTAACAAGAACAAGGGGGCAGAATAAGAGGTGTTCAGGCAGGCTGGGCAGTGTGGCTCATGTCTGTTATCACAGCTACTGCAGAGGCAGAGATTAGGAGATCCACCGTTTGAGACCAAACTAGGCTAAACAAAACTATGAGACACTCATCTCAATCTACAGTCTGGGTATTTTGGTGTGAGAGTATAATCCTTCCTATGCAAGAGGTGGTATATAGAAGGATCATAGTCCAAGGCTAGCCCTGGACAAGAATGCAAGACTGTCAAATAGCTAAAAGCAAAAGAGTGTTGGGAGACATAGCTTAAGGACAATTGTAGTAAGAGTCTAGTCACCATGCTTGCAGGAGTCTTGGTAATGTATATGGAATTGTATTTGCTCTCCAATATCTGAAAACATGATATAATTAAGGAGTGTCAAGCTTAACTGATTTCTGAAAACACAAGATAAGAAAGAAAATTGGAAAATATTTTCCCCATGAATACTCTTCCCATGGAGTATGTGGGCAGTTTTTCTACTTCTTTCTCATCCATGATATTAAATATGCAGAAACTCATAAAGCACACACACACACACACACACACACACACACACACACACACACACACACACCACCCTTAACAAAACATGAGTCTGCTAAATTAAAATTAAACATTGGATGTTTAAAGTTTATTTATTTATCCAATAGTGGAATACCAAGAGGTAAGAGAAAGTATGGACTACCAAGTTTGGGGAAAGCAGATAATTGACATTATGGAGGCTCGAAGTTCTTTTCTTCGTATGTAATGATACCCAGGCATGGACACACTCCAATGTAAAGAAACAACATAGACTAAACCACAAGGATCTCATTATTAGAATGTGGATCATGATTTCTGTATTTTCACATTTCTCTTATTTTGAGAATGTTGCAGGCATTATGTGAAGATATGGAGGAAGAGGAAAGGGGATAGAGAGGAAAGGGGAAAGTGGGGGGGAGGGAAGAGGGGGAGGAAGAAGAGGAAGAGGAAGTGATGAAGACCTAATGAAGTATCCCTTAGCAGCAGTAGTAATCTAGGACTAAACAGATACCAAGGAGGGCAAAGCCATGAATTCATGTAACAATCCCATCTGCTGGGACTCTCTCGTCAGTGCATCTGGTGTAACTGAAATTTCATCAGGATGTATATGGTGCTTTGGGTCTTGTTGAAAAAAGAGAGGGAAAATTGTTCTGAATGTAAGCATTTGTGTATGATACACACACACCTGCTTAGTATCCGCGAGATAACCTCTGCTTTAATAATAAAAACCATTTGATACTAAGGGTTTTAACTTCTGTGAGCTTTTACTTAAGTCATTCTTTCAGAAGTTATTTTATACATGTTTATAAAACACAGACTTTATGTAAAACATAAGGAATTGATAGACATTAGCAAGGTCAAATTCAGTAACAAAATGCAATAACAGTTTTCTCCCAGCTGCCCACTGATGCATATAAGAAACTGCATTTTGGAGTGATTCATGCAATTAATGCTGACAAAATGCAAGCAAACAACTAGATACTGTTGCACTATGACACTTACCCTCTCAATCGCAGCAGGCTAGTTAACGAACATCAAAGCACTGATGACTATATCAAAACCACAGTCAGAAGGGCCATGGGGGAAGCAAGGGGAACGACAAAAGTTCCTTTTCACATGGGATTAAAATGTTCTTTAATGGCTTTTCCCTGCACTTCGGGCTTTTGCTCAAGAGGCATTTCAGGCTTCTCATGAAAACAATCAACTGGCTGGATGCTGGTGGCTCACGGCTCTAATCCTAGCTACTCAGGAGGCTGAGATCTAAAGATAGTAGTGCCAAGTTTTTCCTCTGCTTCCCTTTCACATTTTACTTTTGTGATTGGCATATGGAAACCCAAACTGAGATATCATAATGTTGGAGTATTTTAGGGGCATGCCATCATAGATATTAACAAGCTTATTTAAGCAGTAAGACCTCTGCAGAAAGTGCTCAGCTCGATGCCACATGCCTGAATAGCCGTTGGTTTCCTTTTCCAGATTAATTATATTTACAGGCTTCACAAATACCCCTGAAGTCTTTCCAATGTGCTTGGTGATGATGAAATTCATGGCGATATCATCACAATTCTGAGTTTCATCTATCAGAGCATGGAGGGCTGCAGGCTGTCTCTGGAAGAGTTCCAGATATTTACTACTGAAGAATGAGGCTCCAATCAGCACCATAGAGTACTGGTCTCCATTTACCAACCCCGGTGCTTGTAGTTCAAATCCGCCGTAATTATAGATACCTGAGGATGTGGAGACATGCTTTCGAGGCACAAATCCTACAATTTGGTCAGGGAATTGCTGACAAGGGAAAAAAAGAATAAGTAAGTGTGAGATTTCTTTAAAGACAGAGCGACGTTGGGCACCAGTGGCTTATGCCTGTAATCCTAGCTACTTAAGTGGCTGAGATCTTAAGATCAAGGTTAAAGGCAGCCCAAGCAGACAAATCTTGAGACTCTTATCTCTAGTTAAGTACCAAAAAACTGGAAGTGGAGCTTTAGCCTTGAGTGCAAAAACTAAGAAACAGTGCCCAGGCCTTGACTTCAAGCCCCAGGACATGCACACACGCATAAATACACACAAACAAATGTACATATATACATGGCGAGACTATCCATTTATTACAGAGAGAATAAACCTGATTTGTCGACTTTTCCTTCTTCCCTATTTCTGCATTCTAACTTCATCTAACTCTGGGCTACTTCATAAATTTAATGTCCTTGAAGGTCACTGTTGATTTTCTTAATGTTTTATGTTGCTAGGGTGAGGTGCCTTATACCCATAAGTTCCCTAAGTACAGGAAAGTGGAGGTCGTGAGAATCTCTAAGGCCAGTATAGACAAAAACATGAGATCACTGAAAAATAACTAAAGCAAAGAGGACTATGGGTAGAGGACCTGCATCGAAGACAGAATCCTGAGCTAAAAACCCAGGACCACAAGAAAACAAAAATAGTAATTTTAATCTCTTTTTGACTCGAGTATTTCCTTTTTTTTTGGTCGGTCGTGGGGCTTGAACTCTGGGCCTGAGCGCTGTCCCTCAGCTCTTCAGCTCAACGTTAGCACTCTACCACTTGAGCTACAGCGCCATATCCGATTTTCTGGTGGTTTATTGGAGATGCTAGGGCTGGTTTTGAACTGCGATCCTCAGACCTCAGCCTCCTGAGTAGCTAAGATTACAGGTGTGAGCCACCAGCACCGGCTTTTAGTATTTCCTTCTTAAAAACATGAGATAATATAAGATATATATGGTATATATATATATATGATAATTATGGGATACACATATAAGATTTATATTGATAATATTTTATATATGACATATATGTTACGTATGTCTTCTACATCTCATATGTATTATATATAAATCTTATATCTTATATTTATATATAGCTCATTTCTTATATACATATATAAATCCTATATATCTTATATATCTATATCTAATTATATATATATATATATATGTATGTATGTATGTATGCATAGACATCCAAGTGGGAAATGTGTCAAGAACTTTGAGGACATAAGATAGTAAACCACTTAATATTATTAGGTTGAGACAAGGAAAAACAAAATTCAATCAAAGCAAAAGAAAACAACACTGACTCAGGAGAAAGGGATAAGGGCTTGATGCATTAAAAGTTTAATTCAAAATTAATTCAAGTTCCATTCACTAAATCTCCTATGGATGAACTCAGCCTAGGGCGGTTCAGCACAGACAGGGAGCAGGGAGTCACCAGTCACCACGCTGAGAAAGCTGCAAATGCAGCAAGGTTAGCCAATGAGACGTTGGCGGTGCAGAGACACCTGTGTTGCTGGAGGCAAGGAGGAAGGTTGGTGGATGGGGAATAAAGGCCTCGGGGCTTTTGACAAGGCAGAGAATGAAGGGGCTTTCACAGCTGGATGGAGGAGGGCAGGAGAAAGCAGTGAGGATGGAGGAACAGATTGTACAGGCGCAGAGGTGCACACTGAGTCGCACCTCTTGTCCACATGCTCTAATTTACTCCACAAGGAACTCCTGTCACTCATGGAAGGAGTCAGATTATCTTAGACAATGGCTGGAAATTACTCTTGCTAGTTGCTGACTAAAACTTAAAAAATCCTATTTATACCTCTCTTTTATTTTTTCAGTACTGGGGTTGGCACCTAGGGCCTCGTGCTTACTAAGCTGGGCTCTATTACGGAGCCATGCCTCCAGCTCTGTTGTTCCATGGTTATTTTTAGGACAGGATTTTGCTTCCTATCTAGGTGCAAGCCCCCAGCCTTGATCTGCCTATTCTGAGGCTCCGTGTGGCTGGAATCACATATGCACCCACCTCATACAGCTTGGACTTTTCTGCCAGGAAGTCTGTGTGTGTGTGTGTTTGTGTGTGTGTGTGTACGCGCGCGTGCGTGTGCATGCAAGCGCGCATGTGCATACATGTGCACACACTAGTCCTGGGGCTTGAACTCAGGGTCTGGTCATTGTTTCTCTGAGCTTTTGGCTCAAAACTAGCACTGTATCTCTGTTGTAGGGCTTTACTCTGGTTTTTGGTAGTTAATTGGAGAAAAAGAGTCTCATGGACTTTCCTGCCCAGGCTGGCTTTGAACTGTGATCCTCAGATCTCAGCCTCCTGAGTAGCCAGGATGACATGCATGAGCCACTGGTGCCTGGCTGAAAAAGTTCTTTTAAACTCAGAGCTTTTCACGCCAGGAAGTTTGATCTGCACAGATGTGCTGTGCCTCCTCCCCACTCCTACCTCTGTACCAGGGTTTGAAATCAGGGCTTCATACATTCTTGCTGGATGTTCTTTCACTCAGGGCTGGCACTCTACCATTTGAGTCATACCTATAGTTTGATCTTTTGCTGGTTATTTGGAGAAAAAAAGTTTCCCAGATTCGTCTGGTTTTGAACCATGAACAATTCCTCCTTAGGAACTAGGATTCTAGGTATGGGCCAGCAGTGAACAGTTTATGTTTATCTTTAACTATGATTTACTTAGATTATTCATAATCCTCATATTGTGCCTGCCTTCATCTTTACATTTGGAGTAGGTTGATTTTTTTTTTAAATAGAAATCTCACAGTTGATGTTTTACATGAGTACTTTTAGCCTAAAAAGCTTTTATTTATAGGACTGGGAAAAGCTACTAATCTAAACTGCTGACATAATTCATCAGCAATGCAGGCATGAAGTTAAGACCACAGATTTCAGAAGTCTGCTATATACATGGAACTGTGACAACCTACCATTCATGCTAATAAAGGAATTATTACAGTACAAATCAGACCATGTATGGTACAGCCTTCAGAGTATCTGAACGCAGTTCTGGTCTCAGGTAATTATAGTGCAACTTGTAAAAGTTAGTTATGATTAGAACTACATATTCGACAGAGTGCTAGTGACAACATATGCTCATTTATCCAAGCCAGGATTTAGGGGAAAAAAATAAAGGAAACTAATACCTGACAGTCCAATGGCAAATGCAGACATTTCTAAACTGGTATTGCATTTTTTGAGATAATAAATTCATTCTCAAAAAGCTTTTTAAAAATGTTGATACAGTTGGGTGCTAGTGGCTGTAATCCTAGCTACTCAGGAGGCTCAGATCTGAGGATCATAGTTCAAAGTCAGCCTAAGCAATAAAGTCTGCAGGACTTTTACCTCTTATTAACCACACACACAAAAAAAGTGCTGTGGCTTAAGTGATAGAGCACCAGCCTTGAGCACAAAGGCCCAAGGACAGGCCCAGGCCCTAAGTTCAAGACCTAGGACCAACACACACACACACACACATACAGAGACACACACACACACACACACAGAGACACACACACACACAGAGACACACACACAGAGACACACACACACACACACAGGCACACACACACATATACACACACACAAGTGTATTTCTCATTCAAGACACTTGTCTATGGCTTGTAGAAATGATCTCTTCTCATCTTTCCTGTGTCAAATGATTTCTTAGTTGTTCTCTAGGAGATAATTCCAGCTATTCTTCCCTATACTTCCCAATATTAAACCAACTTTCAAAATGGCTTAATTCAGCTCTGGAAATCTTGATCAGCTTACGATGATTTTGTTTATGTTTTAGAAATATACTCCTTAAGATGTTTTGAGTAACTCCCACGTTAAACTATAGCATATTGATTTAAGCATTGGATAAGTTTTAGCAACATTACCTGCCACACTGAGAAAGCAAAAACAAGATCCTGGGCACTAATGAGTGTATCATCATCCACCATTAACACCGCTGAAACAAAAGGAAAATAAATTTACATTGAATCCTTTGGAACTGAAAACAAAAGCAATAAGATACAATGGTATCTAAATAGATCATTTAAATGAAGTATTTTCTGATCCAGTTAGTGAGTAATAACTGTCTTCTGATAGATTTATTTAGTAGAAAAAAATCTTTTTGAATTATAATTGATTTCAAAATAGCCCCAGAGGGAAATAAGCAGATAATTAGCATCCATCATCCTAGAAACTAATGGCTCTTAAAACAAATAAAATTTCTTATAAGCAAATTACAACCTCATGAAAGGGTTACAAATGGGAGGAAGAGAGTGACAAAAACGTATGAAGCATAAGCTAAACAGCATTTTACTACTTTTGCTATAATTAATCATGTATATTATAGCATTTGTCAAACTTTTTTTATTGTAACAATATTGCTTCTTTGTTACTGCTGCAAGATATATGTGATTTCCTCACCAGCAAACTGCTCTTTGAAATCTTGGAAACTTCCTTCAGCTTTTCAAAGTGTTCCGTGTGTGTGTGTGTGTGTGTGTGTGTGTGTGTGTGTGTGTATGCGCATGTGTGCACGCACCAGTACTAAGGCTTGAACTGAGGGTCTGGGTGCAGTCCTTGAACTTTTTGTTATTGTCAAGGTGATGTGCAGTTACATAAAGTTACAGTTACATAAAGTAATAAGTACATTTTGTCAAACTTGTTACTCTATCCCTCATTTTTCTCCTACTTTCCCTCCCCCTGAATCCCTTCCCCTCAAGTTGTACCGATCATTTCCAACATATTGTCTTGTGAATATAGTTGTTGCATGGGTCACACAAAGCTCCTTCAACTTTTTTCTTCAAAGCTAGCGCTCTACCACTTGAGCTACAGCTCTACTTCTGGCTTTTTGGCGGTTAATTGGAGATAAGAGTCTCAGAAAGCCTAGGCTGGTGGCTCACACCTGTAACCCCTAGCTACTCAGGAGGCTGAAATCTGAGGATTATGGTTTGAAGCCAGCCAGGGCAGCACAATCTGTGAGACTCTGATCTCTAATAAACTGTGGGGGGGGGGGGGAGGAAGAGAAGAGTCTCAGAGACTTTTCCTGCGTAAGCTGGCTTTGAATTTCAATCCTCAGATCTCAGCCTCCTGAGTAGTTAGCATTACAGGCCACTGTAATGAGCCACTGGTGCCTGGCTGAAAAAGTTCTTTTAAACTCAGAGCTTTTCACGCCAGGAAGTTTGATCTGCACAGATGTGCTGTGCCTCCTCCCCACTCCTACCTCTGTACCAGGGTTTGAAATCAGGGCTTCATACATTCTTGCTGGATGTT